ACATGGATGAAGTAGTTGTTGCTGCAACTCTCCCCTTATGCAATACAGTAGTTTTTCATGAAAAGCAAGCCCTTCTGAAGACTTGGGCAGAGGTTAGATTCCAGTATTTTCATGACACCATTTTTCTTTGAGTTCTGCATCTACTAGTGTGCATGCATTCAAGGGATTTCACTCTTTGTAAAGTAGGAAGATATTCTTGGATGGAATCCAGATATGATGGGTCAGATTTTTCTGCATTTTTCCTTTTTACATTAGGGACAAGTGAAGTCAGCATCACTTCTGTGATTAACTGCTTTTTGTTCTTGCCTGATGCCTTGTCATGGACTCCTACTCAGAGCAAAGAATAAATAAAAAGATGTTTTCATCTTGTAATAGGTGGTGTTTTTTCCCCCTCAGGAATACTGGCTACCTTTGAATTGTGAAGGCCAGCTGCCAGATTTTTAGAGGTGTAATGTGCAGAAGTATCATTAAGAGAAAAGTTTGGGTTTGATTTTGGGTGCTAACCATGGCAACAAAAATAATGGAGCTGCAATTATACTGTTGACAGCTGTTGACAGCTGGAGCTATAACCATTATAAAAATCAGAAGAAAGGAATGTTGAGAGCCTGCAGAAATTAGGGTTTTAATTACATGATGATGGCTGACAAAATTTGTCAATCATTTTTTGGTCATAATGCTTTTCTGAAGATTGCTGTGTCACAGTGGCAAAGACACATATATTCTAATGCTGATTGCATGTCAGAAACAGTGAGAAAGCCACTTCAGCAAATTATGTTTGGTGTTGACAGAGAACCTTCCCACACTGGTTAAAGAAAAAAAGTAGAGATATTTATTTGGTTTCATATATTTCCCAGAAAGACAGAAGGCCCAAAACCTTACAGTCCTTCCAGATTCCCCAACTCTTTCAGGTAGTCTAGTAATGCTGTTTCTGCTGTGAAGTTTCTTCATGTTGTTTTTTAATTGGTGGTAAGTCCTGAGTGACTTCAGTGTTTTTTCTAATCCATTTGATTTCTAAAAGCATGTATGTATATAAAAGCACAGCTATCACAATTCTGGGTAAAAAGACCTAAAAATCTTTTCTGTGCAACTGCCTGAGACTGTGCCATTCTGATATGTGCAACGTGATGCAACAGGGCTCTGTCCTGCCAACGTGCTGTCCCGCAGTGCAGGGCTGTGGTGCTCCCAGTGGGAGTAAGGCAGTGGGATCGGGGAGCAGCTGGCCTGTGGGAAGCGGTGGGGTTGCCCAGGTAGGCTTCCATGTGATGTTTCCTGGTGCATGCCAGCACATGCAGTGTGTTGCCTCCAGTTTGAGCCGTGCTAGATCAGACCATGACACTGCTGTTGCTTCTGATTAGCAGAGACTTTGTTTTGTGGTGAGATTCCTCAAAAAAACAAGCTCTGCGCTAAACAGAAACTGCAAATAAGGGCTAAACTTAGCAGGTCTAAGCAGAGTGGCTGGTGACTCCCAGTTAAGAGAGAGATAAGAAAAGGCCATTTGGTCTAGATAAGTTTGGGACATGCTGACAATCCGTGGCTCTCTGTCAGTTGGAATGTAGACTCTGGTATGATCAAAGAGGTTACTACATTCATTCTCATGAGCTGCTGTTGTGTTACGGACCAGACTGTGCTGTTACTGTTGATACCCTTTTTTGATTGTATTTTAAGTGCCAAGTTACCAGGAGACCTCAGGAGGCAGTCCCAAGGCAGTGAAGGTGAGTCGTCTTGAGTTTCTGGCTGGAGCAGCACCTAATGACCGCAAGCAGCCCAAGAGGGCTTTTGTTAAATGATGTTGTGACGTGTTCTTGGCTGTCTGATCCGAGCAAGTATATTCTTGAATGTAATATATATGTTTTAAGTGCCCCATTAATAAGACTACTTGAATAATAACCTCACTACATTCTCGGGCTTGAGTCGTTATGTTGGGGTGGTTTTTATGTAAATATATTTAAGCACTGTATTTTATTATGTATCTCGTTTCTTTCTTTGCTCGTTCAGAAGCTAAAAAAGTCCTGCTGAGGGGGGACGGGTCCGGGGGGGGGTGTGTGTGTGT